GTTTTGTAAAAATCGACGCGTTTCAAAAAGGCGGGGCATAGAGGAGAAACAATAATGTACAGTATGTGGAAAATAATTTGTTTTTTGAACTTTAAACCGCATAAACACATTTCATTACACCAAATACACAAAATAATGTTCTTTTTAGCAGCATCATATGACCCCTTTAAGTAAACGAATTGTTCTAAAGTTCCTCCCTTTTTTAAAAATACACCAATTTTAATACCAAAAATATAAATAAATAAAAACATGTCATGAATATGTTTATTGAATGATTTAATAATTTGCTCATGACGTACACAACAGACATGACGTGCTGTAAACTTGCAGAAAGAGTCAATGAATCAAGGAACAAATCTGAATAAATCAAAAGAGTTACTAAGTTGAATCAAAATCCCCACTACTTGTACACTGTTACTATCAAAAATGTCTTTTTTAAAAATAAAATATTTTATATAAAATATATCATCAGATTACAGTATGTAAAACAAACAGTATTTTATAGTTCATAAGTAGCATTTTAGTTATTCTTCAACATTGTTGGCAACCTGTTATTGATTTGAAGTGTCTTAAAATCACTGGGAAGGTAAAAAAAAAAAAAAATCATTTATAATGTAGTAACTGAGAATCATCTTCACTTAAAAACATGGTACACTGAGAGGAAGCAGAGTGATGATCAAAGACATCAGCCCTCTGGTGGCCAACAAAAAAATGATGTCCCTATCTGTTGTGTCAGACTGGTAGTTTCGTTATTACACTTTAAACTTCTGATTGCATTTCATAAAATGACTTCCCTCTCATTATATCATACTTCAGCTTCACATATTTTGTGTTCGTTTGGGTGGTCTCTGTCTGATCTGAGAGATAATGTGTTCTGATCATTGCTCTTCCCTTTTTGCTAACTGTAAACAGAAATCTAATACTAGAATATACATAATTTTATTCACACTTGAGGCTTCACATGGAAATTTCCAGATTCCCCGTGGTGTGAATCAATTTGAAGTGTACACAGTGCATGAGGCACGGTCAAGGTCACAGGCCTGGGCGCGCACACGCCGGTTCCTGCTTGAGAAGTGAGGAGAGGAGGGCGGGGCTTACTGAGAATTGGCAGTTTGGTGTGAACCGGCATTGTGTCATAGTGTGACACATCCCATGATGCAAGAGTCATGATCACTCTCAGCTGTGAGACGGCAGTCTGTTCACACTCTTACCCGGTCAGATCCTCTCTGGCACTGAGATCTCCACATCTGACTCTCAAAACCTCTTTGGTGTTTCAGCTCTTTAGGTTTTTTTGTTTTGCTTTGTGTTTTGTTTGTTTGTTTGTTGATTGTTTTTTTTCCAATCAGGTTTGCCAAACTGTCCACCTTAGATAATGTTGCATAGTTGGGGTGCTAAAAAAGAGTTTTGTGTGTTTTATTTTATTTTATTTTATTTTTCAAACAGTTTTACTTCTTAACTAATGTGGTTTCGCATTACTCAAAAATGAGATAAATTATTATAGTTTTTATTTATTATTGATTTTGGTTTTGTTTGTTTTGCCTTTTTTTTTTTTAAACACTTCACCCTTTAGCTAATATCGCTGTCAGAATGCTCAACGAGAGAAATTGTTTTATTAATTTATTTTCATTTCTTTCTTTCTTTCTTTCTTTCTTTCTTTCTCTCTCTCTGTCTGTCTGTCTTTCTTTTTCTTTCTTTCTTTCTCTCTCTCTGTCTGTCTGTCTTTCTTTCTTTCTTTCTTTCTTTCTGTCTGTCTGTCTGTGTCTGTCTGTCTTTCTTTCTTTCTTTCTTTCTTTCTCTCTCTCTCTGTCTGTCTGTCTTTCTTTCTTTCTTTCTTTCTGTCTGTCTGTCTTTCCGTCTTTCCTTCCTTCCTTCCTTCCTTCCAAACAAAAAACAAACAAACAAACCGTTTTTTCAGACACTTTGTGGTTTTGGGATGCTGAGAAATTATTTTTTGTTTTATGTTTTATTTTACTTTGTATTTTCTCATTTTTTATTTTATTTATTTGTTTAGTTTATTTTTCGTCAAGCATGTTTCACCCCTTTGCTAATGTTGCTGTGTCGGGATGCTCAAAACTTTATTTTTATTTTATTTTTTTTTCCCCCCCCCCCCATTTTCTTTTATGACAATATTTATTATTTTCACTAAAAAAAATATTATTTATTACTTTTTGAATGTATTTATCACAGCATTATTTGACCCAGAGGAGGACTGGCGGACAGGCAAGTATGCTCTTAAATGTAACGAGAGCTCTCTCGTTCTTACTGCACTGTACCAGGTGGCCCAGTCAGCAACCCCTGAACATGGACTGCAGCCCTTCTAGAACCTTTATGAACTTCCGCCTGTGTGTCAATCACTAAGTGAGTGGCAGGGCTTCCTGTTTTGGCCATGTGAGGTTACACATCCTGGCAGGGGAGCTGCTGTCAGCCACAGGACCTCGTGCTGGTCGTGTCTACCACACACACACACACACACATTTGTTCAGCCCCACAGGGATCTCCTGACTTGCGGGCTCTCGACACACCAGCAGAGGTGCTGCACTGATTCCTGTTTTACTTCACACCTGCACGGTGCTGTCAGGACTTCTTTCCCAGCCACACGAGGGGTCAAT